GTGCTATGTTGGCTAGCACTAAGGAAGAAAGAGACTTGGGGGTCATCACTGACCACAAGATGAACATGAGCCTGCAATGCGATGCGGCGACTAGTAAAGTGACCAAAACCCTGGCTTGCATCCATAGATGCTTCTCAAGCAAATCCCGGGACGTCATTCTCCTGTTGTACTCGGCCTTGGTGAGGCCACAGTTGGAGTACTGCGTCTAGTTTTGGGCTCCACAATTCAAAAATGATGTGGAGAAGCTTGAGAGAGTCCAGAGTAGAGCCACATGCATGATCAGAGGTCAGGAAAACAGACCTTACGGCGACAGGCTGAGATCTATGAGGTTCTTTAGCCTGGAAAAGCGCAGGCTCAGGGTTGATCTGATGGCCACCTATAAGTTCATCACGGGTGACCATCAGTATCTGAGAGAACGTTTGTTCACCAGAGCACCCCAAGGGATGATGAGGTCGAATGGTTATAAGCTACTGCAAAACCGTTTCAGGCTGGACATAAGGAAGAATTTCTTTACTGTCCGAGTCCTCAAGGTCTGGAATAGCCTGCCATCGGAGGTGGTTCAAGCACCTATATTGAACACCTTCAGGAGTAAATTGGATTCTTATCTTGCTGGGAGCCTATGACCTCAGCTGACTTCCTGCCCTTTGGGTTGGGGGCTGGACTCAATGATCTTCCAAGGTACCTTCCAGCCCTAATGTCTATGAAAGTCTATGAAATCAAAGTGAGGTCATGTTTCCAGTCTTTTTTTTACAGTTTGTTTTGCTAGAAATGTGTATTTTTAATATGAAAGCTAGAATTCTCATTTAATCACATGACTCAGATGCTAAGGCCCTAGACACAGGTTTATAACCCTTATGCATCAATTTGGACTCAAGCACCTACTCATCTAGGGACCATGACATACAAGCAGTTGACAAGGTATGCACATGCCCTACAGAATCTTTCAGCAAGGAAATGAAACATGCTCATTAAAGTTAAGCAAAATAACTGGTTTCTTTTCTGTTTGGAGTCTTGGGCCTTCTCTACATGACAAGGTTTTGCTGGCATAGCTATCTGGACTACAGGATGTAAAAAGACCACATCCTGTAGTGTAGATGAAAGCTGTGTCAGCAAAACACTGGGTGTGTACACAACCCTGCAGAGGAAGGTTTTTGCTGTTCAGGAGAGCTGGTATAACTCTGGTAGCACAAAACCCCCTTTTGTCAGCAGAAGTGTGTATATACCAGGGTGTTCTGTCACTGTAGTTAAAGCAACAGCAGCCCTGAGGTGTAAACTAAGTTTACCATAGCAAGGATGGGAAACTAGGTGATGGTGGGAGGCTAAGGCCTAGTTTACCTTGCCAGGTTTTAACTCTACTGTAGTTCTGCTGGCAGACTTCACATGACAGCAATGATGACAATGATGATGAGGAAGAAGATGGAGGCAGTGAAAAAGAAGGGATGAGCAATGAGGACAACAGAGAAAATGAAGATAGCAGCGATGATGAAGAGAGCAACACAGACTAAAGACTAGGGAGAACAGAAGGGTGAGGGAGGTGGAGAGATGGAAAGGGAGCAGGAGGTAGAAGGAGCAGAGGCAGGCCAGCGTGACTGTATTGGCGATATGGATGGGTGCGTGGGTGTGATTATTGTAATGGGAATTTGATGCTGTAATGGTGTATATGTTTGAGGGCCTGTCAAGTGAACTGGACCATTCTTCACAAGACAGGGAGGTGAAAGTAGAGGAGTGATTGTGTACATATATATGTATAAGCATATAAATATATTTTTGCAAAAAACCCAAACAAATGTCACATGCATTTATACTCAATGCTCCTTTGTCGTGGCAGAAACTTCTTTTTTGTCAGCCAAATTAAACCATCTCTGTCAAGCTAAGTAAAGCTTCTGCCACATACTAGCAGCTGACAGAAGGCACATATAGACACTCTTGTATCTGCTGCTGGCCACCACAGTCCCTTCAGCAGCTACTGCTTCCCAGGATGTACTTGGTACTCTGCTATAATTGCAGTGGTACTGCATAGTTGCCAGAAGTGCACGGATGCAGGAGTGCTCTGAGTGCAGCTACTGTTTGCTACGAGTCAGTGTAGACAAGGCTACGTAGGTTGTAGCCGTGGTGGTCTAAGGACATAGGCAGACAAGGTTCTTTGGGTAAATCTGATATCTTTAATTAGACCAACTCAAATAGATGGAAAAATTCTTTTTAGCAAGCTTTTGGGTTTAAATACCCTTCATCAGGCTGAGGAAGCATCTGCAGTTGGTGTGTGCTGTTCCTGGATGGAATGAATAGTAAGGAAGCCAGAGGCTGGGCTGCATGCAAGAAAGGCAGTCAGTGAAGATGTAAATTGAGGAGTCAGTGAATGAGAGGAATGGGGGGGGGGAGGGAGGCAAGGAATGAATGTAGCTGGTAAATAGTGGAGAGGTACCTGGGGAGTCAGATGTCAGGAAGATTATAATGTGTCATAAATCCAGTGTCTTAATTTAGTCTATGATTTTTTTGTATACAAGAGGTTGATGAAGTGCAGTTCATAGGCTCATCTGTGAAAGGTGTTTTGTAAATTCCCTTTGAGGGTTAGAATGAAATTGGGAAGCGAGTGGTTTTCTTGTAAGAAATGTGCCCCCACCGGTAATTGGGTATTCTTGTCTTTAATAGATTTCTGGTGCGCATTTATTCTGGTGCGTAGTTGTTGTTTGGTCTCTCCTACGTATTTTCCATCAGGGCATTTAGTGCATTGGATGAGACATATATTACATTTCTGGAGGTGCAGCTGTAGACAAGGCCAGTATTGTCAGTGTCTGAAACCAGTGAAGGACCCTAATAAACGAAGTTTGCTAAGCACCCAAGAGTCATGTCAGTGCAAGAGAAGTACTCAGTACAGGATGAGCAGCTTGAAGATTCTTCAGAATACCTATATATCTTGGGCATTCTCTGAAAATTGCTGCCACACTAGCATTTAATCAGGATGGACACAACCAGCTTATGTAATAAAGAGATGTTTAGACTATGTAATGCTAAAGAGTAGGGGTAGGCAACCTTTTCTGACTGTGGGTCAGAATGACCCATCACAGGTTGGAGGTGAGCTGGTGGATGGGTGCTAAGATCCTGGTACCACTGCTGCTTGTCTCCCCACTGGCTCCAGGAAAATGTCCCCGGCCAGTGCTTCTCCTCATGGTGGCATGGAAAGAGCACCTGCAGGAGGTGTCCTATATTGCCAGAGGCTACTGAAGCCCCATCTGTGGGCCACAGCCAAAGGTTCTGCAGACCAGATCTGGCAGGTGTGCTGTAGGCTGCCCACCCCTGATTTAGAGGTCTTCTGATAAAGAATTTACAACCTAAGCAGAAGGACTGGGGGAAAAAAACAAGACTTGACCGTGGGGCTGGTAATTTTTCCCCAAAGTTCTGAGTTATAAAGACTGCTATAATTTTTCTGTGGATGTAGAACCTGCTAAATAACTGACTTGGTTTAACCTCAATAATTATTAACCCAGAGACTGACTCAGCTCCCCAGTTATACCTCCTTACTCAAGAATGTGTGCCAGAAGGATAATGTACTTATGTCAACTATTGCAATTTTTATCACAGGTCTCCCAATATACTTCTCAAAGCACACGGTCCTGAAGTCAAGTGATTCAAGTTCAACTTTTCTAGAAAATTAAAAAAATACATGCTTGTAAAGGAAAGCTTGAAAATGTGTGCGTAATTTAGAGGCTCAAAAAGCAAAGGAAGAGATTTTTAATATTATTAAGTTGATATTTTGAATGTTTAGGACTGATAATACTGGGACTCACCAAGCGATAATATGCTGATTCTTTCAGATCAAAAGAAGGTTGGGGGAGGGTGCAGACAGAAGAATGCTTTGGAGGGCGGCCGGGAGCACTGGAACATGTCCCGGCGCAGCCCGGGCAGGTCTTGGACGTGGAGAGCTACACAAACAGGCAAGAGAGCAGAGGGTGAGTGTCGTGTTTATGCAAAATGACACCGCCGGACAAATGAAGGTCTCTGGCTGCAGAGCAGGCAGCAATACTGCATAAGGCTCTACCCATTCTCCAACACTAGAGGTGTCATCATTCGGAACCAACCCTCAGGAGATTAACCAGGGGGCTGTTCAGTAGCTACCCCAGCGGGGGCCAACCTGCCTGCCAAAACACTAATGCCTGTGCCCCTCCCCCAGTGCCACTCCGCTCCGCTCCTCCTGCTTTGCTTCCTACTCCCTGCCCTGTGCTCCCCGCCCGTCTGCTGCTCTGCCTTGTGCCCAGTGAATGCCCGAGCTGCTGCTCTTTCTGCTCTATCCTGTGCTCCCTGCCCAATGCTCATTCTGCTCCCTGCCCAGTCAGCCACTCTATTTTCTGCTCCCTGCCCGATCTGCTGCTCTGCTGCCTGCTCCCTCCCATGCTTCCTGCCCTATCCGCTGCTCTGCTTTCTGCTCCCTGTCCAATCCGCTTTGGGCCCCGAGGCTGCCCGTGCCGCTCAGCTGCCAGCGCCCCCCGGGGCATACGCTCAGCCCGCGGCGCGGCACATCCCGGCCCCACGAGACTCCCCCCCACCCCCCGGCCACGTGCCACGAGCCCCAAACCTCACCGCGCAGGCGCGAGGGCCGACCTTAGGCCCCGCCCCCCACGTGGTGCGAGGCGGTGCGCAGGCGGGGCCCGGCCGGAGACGTCATTTCCGCTTGTGTCGCGGTGCGGAGCGGAGCTGTGCGTGGAGCGGGACGGGACGGGACGTGAGTGCCGGGGGGGCCGCACCCGCAGCCGGC